TGATACATGCAGAATCTACCTATAGTATGTAGTAATTTATGTGGTATCTACCTATAGTATATAGTGGTATATGTTGTATCTACCTATAGTATACAGTGATATATGTTGTATCTATCTATAGTATACAGTGCTATATGTTGTATCTACATATTATATACCATGGTATGTGTGGTATCCACCTATATATGTGACATCTACCTATATTATACAGTGATATATGTTGTATCTACCTATAGTATACAATGGTATATGTGGTATCCACCTGTATATGTGATATCTATCTATAGTATACAGTGATATAAGTGGTATAGTATACAGTGGTATGTGTGGTATCTACCTTATTGTTGGTTCTTCATCTCCCCCCTGTTGTCCTCTTGTTAAGGATAACTTTGGAGCTTATGAATAACATGGGATTTTTAAGTTTAAAATGTTATGGCTGAGGATGACTTGGTGTGGTGAAGACTATTGGAATGAGTGAGGATACGATGGGATTGTGGATGTTGACTTGGGCTGTTTTACCACTTGGGATTGTTTAGTATAACTTGGTATGGCAGATTATTTGATTATTTGTTTATGAAAATCATCGAGCCTAATTGTAGTTCAACTCTAGTGGTCAAACTGAACATTGACAATTTTGACGTACCTTAGAAATGAATTTGTTGTATAGGTCGTGTTTTTATGAGTGGCAGCACAGATGGTGTGGTAGCCATAAGTAGTCCTGCTACTGGCCTCACTGTCCGTTTGATTCAAGATCATAAGGGAGGACCAATCACTGATATGGACATTGCTTCACATAAGGTACAATGAAAAACACTCTGCAACAAATAGAACTGAGTAAGAAATAAAAGATTTTCACTGTGTTTGTACGGGCTTATGCAAACGGAAGAGTCTTTTGAGAGAACTTGAGAGCAGATTAGTGCACCTGTTTTTAGAGTTCTCATGAGCCTCTCCAAGGTTTGCATAAGCCTGGAAAACACAAAAACATCTTTTATTTCTTATCTTAAATAGCAATATTGCGAAAGTTTCAGAGAAATGTTTTTATTTTTGCTTTAACATGTATTCATGATTGATATGCAAATTCTCTTTGATTGATTAATTAATTGAGCTCATACCAGTTCACACAAACTAATGCAAACTCAGCTATGGACCAATCAGTAGAAACGTTTATTGATGTTGTTTTATGAATAAAAAGTCTTAAGCTACTTCAAAATGTTTTTGAAGCACTTTCGCAATATTTACCAAACTTAACACCTTACTGGTTATTGATGATGATTTATATATGGCAAGCGTTACTTCCGGCTAAATGAGGCGCTTTGATTGGCTCAGAAACATTTTTGCCGGTCCATTATTTTCCCGTAATCGACCACGGTCCAAAACGCGTAATTTTACTGTCAAATGTGAACAAACATCTTAAAGCAAACAGCAAAACGCGAAATAAACGAAACAAAAAACCATTTAGGAATGTAATTCGAAAGAAAAACACTTGGAAAACTATCTAGACGATACAATTATGAAACGAGTTTATTTTTTATGGACGAAAAATAGAAAAGTAAAAATCAACCCGTAAAAACCGCAAGGACGAAAAGGCAAGCTTCGTTTCAGGTCAAATAATGCCATATAATTATCTATTTAATAACCTCGCTTTCTCGGTCTTTACTGAGAAATATCAGACCTCTGTCTTTTTGTACAACCTCACCCTACGGGCTCGGTCTGTACAAAAACAATTCGGTCCGTTCTCCGTAAATACCTCGCGCTTAGTCACATTAAGAGCTTATTATAATCAAAACTTTGTTTTTAGAACGATCATCCATCATTCAATTCGCCCAGATTGTGGCTTATTGCGAGCGCTGATCGTAGGGTTAGCGTATGGAAGGCGGATTGGTCGAAGGATTTCTGCGAGCTTGTTGATTGGTTAACTTTTCCCGCTCCAAATATAACACCTGAAGGAATTGCTTTGAAAAAAGACGATGCGGTGAGAAATTGTAGTTTGTTTCTTGTCTTGATTGTAGTTGCTCAAGATAATGAAAGATAAATAAATTATTATGGAAATTTGTTTTAATAAGTTTGAAATAAGCATGTTTTCTCCCTTTGAAGTCTGCGTATTTGCATCTACCGCCAAGTTTGGCAAGATTCTCGCCAACAGAGCCCGATGTTATTGTGTACAGTGGTTATGGTCTGAGAAAACTGGTACAATTCTACAGCTTGTCCCAGAGAAAGGTCAGTATTTGTAAGAGGTCTGTGCTTGGAGCAGACAAAATGTCCATCATTGATGGAAATGTGTTCATTGTCAGGTTTTTCGAACTATTTTGTTGACACAATGGGCTTCTTGCTTGGAAATATCGCCTAAGGGTCATTTAATTGCTGTTGGAACCAAAGGTATATATTAAGAAGGTTTTTTACAACGTTCTGCAAAACAACACTGAATGATTTGAAAATCCTTTCTATATCTTGAAAGATAATAGTTTGAAATCGTTAAAGTTTTTTATCTACTCCAACTTATGTCAATTTTTCTCATCTAGTTTTCTTCCATTAGTAAAACTGGATTATCGATGGTTTCTGAGAAGAAAATTTAGATCACAATTTAGGGTTACGTATCCCACATAGTTTAAGTCTAAAAAAAGGTCCCAAATCGACGTAGCTACGTCGGAAATATGAATCAAAAAAGCTTTAGGTGAAAGTCTCATTAAATAGTTTTTTCTTTCTTTTCAGTGCTTCTTTTATTTCCTCGAGAATTAATGACACCCAATGCTTTAGTTTACAATTACTTAATTAGGTATTTTTGCTGTCTGTAATTTTCTTTTTGTTTTAGATCGACTAGTGAAAGTAATTGATTATGATAAAGGTAGCTTTCAAGATTTCGATATGCATTGTGACTCTATTAGCCATGTGACATTTTCTCCGACCGGAGATAAACTGTTTTCCGTTGGTTTTTCGGATGTTGCTTTGTGGAAGGTGTTGATATAGAGAGACGTCCTTATTACACAATCTTGGCAAAACAATATAAAGTCGACGGCTGGTGCGCTATAGTCTATGACCCGTTAATTTAAAAACTCAACATTTTATCGGCTTATTGAGAGCAAGAGAGAGATATGCGTAAAATATAAAATGCATATATATACATTCTTATTTATGAAAGGAAAGTAAAACCAGCAAAATTTTGTTTAGTTTGTTAAAGAGCAAAAGATTCTTGTTGCAAGAAAGAAGCATGGAATTCATGCCTTGAGAGAGACAGCAATATAATGGATGATTTTTGACAATATAAAAAGCTTCCATACAAACAATGTTTTTTAAATGAAAGAGAACTATTTCAGTTTGAAAAATACTTTAATTGCTGGCGGGAGGGGGTGGAAGGCTAGTGCTAATCTGACTTAGCCCATTTTGATAACAAGATTCATGATCGAGAACATGGACGCAGAATTGTGATAAGGAAATGAATTTGGTCCTTACTTGGCATATAATGGTAATACCCATCATTACGCAATACGCGAATATAAAACGATGACATTTTTCCATGCTTTTTTTTGACACGTCTTCATTAAGGCTCCGTTTACACTATACCGGATTGCTATCGCAGCAGGTTGAATATTCTTTATATTAAAAGGCAGTAAAATTGTTCAGCGTCAGAAACACGATCAAATAGACTAAATCTATCCTCTTAATAAGCTTTTACTCCGAACAGTTACCCCTTTAAAAGCAAATGAAGATGTCGTGATGAGCAAATCCGGTATAGTGTAAACGCAGCCAAAACGTTATTTTAAGGAGTAATAAATTTAAATACTCCGGTATACGAACAATGAATTCAAAATAACCTCGTCTAGTCTGTGTTAACCTCAGAAGAATCTTTTATAACGGTTCTCCCTGAACGCCATACTTTCTGTAAATATCAACCCTTTTACAAAATTTCCTAGAGGCAGAAAACTGGATTAGCCGGAGAAAAATGCAAGCAAAGCTCACTAACTCATCTCACATTCGCAAGCTAATTTTATTTTGACCAGGGAACGAACTCGCAAAACAGCTGTAGAATGCATTGAGTTTGACCTTAGTGCCACTGTAGGTGCTCACTCCGATGAAGTTGAGATAGATTCAGTTAATTGTTTTGTCAATCTTTACTGCTGACAAGGTCATTGAATTGTTTAATTAGGCGTAGAAAGTGAATGGGGTGGGGTGTGTAATTCAGATAATATCTTAATTGATAAGAATGAATGCACGCAACGCACAGAACATGAATGGACCAGAAATTGACTAGAAGCACAAATATCAATGCTGTTAGATATAGTTATAAGACCGTCAACGAGCAGATATAAGCTAAGATCAAGACTTAACTACGGATTTTACAAGAATTATCAAAGTTTGCCAATATCAAATTTTTTATACCCTTAAGTGCTAATGACATCGGCCTACACGCAACGTCCATTGTCCCCAATAATCCGTTTCTACAGCAATGGACTTGGGTTCACATTAATGAAGTTTCACTTAACTTCGTTTTTGACCTTGTTATAAAGTGGTTTTTGTATAAAATATAATAAACTAAAATCTTACTGCTTATTTCAATGATATATAAGGGAATACTAAAACTTATATCATGAAGTATATGGGTATTTTCCATAATCACACTGGTAATTGAATTTTAAATATTAATGCTGACTTCTGGGATACATGTTAGTGGAAAGAATAGATTAAGACGTCAGACCTTTTCTACCTCGTGGTCGTTAAATTCATTTAGTTTCATGTCGTCTTCATTGAAACCTGCTCTGACAATATTTATTCTGGTAAGTGTGAATTTTAGCTGTTTTCATCGTGTTAAAGGGAAGTATAGCAAAGCTAAAACAATCAATAGAACACAACAGCCTATTTTATTTTCGAGATAACTTAAAAATGACGCTTGTTCGTTATCAAATTTCTAGAGAATATTTCACCAATTGGATTTTAAGCTATTCACCATTTCAAATGCTTTTATTTTAATGTGGAATGGGTGACTTGCGTAACGTTGAACAATGGCCTACTCAAATTACACGGCCTGATATCTTGCCATAGCAAGGACAAAAATGCAAGGCCATTGAATTTTCCCGCGGTGCTCTTCGAAATTTTGATTTTCTTCCTTCAAAATTGTTCATTGGCCTTACTTTATGGCATAAACTTGTAGATAAAAGTCTAGCGATCATTTCAAGAGTTTATTGGCTGAAATTGGTCCTTTTTTCGCCGAGAAATCAAAGTTTATAAATTGGTGCGATCGGCGGTTGTTTTGTTTATCACGCGCTCGTCTTCGTTCGAAAATTTTAGCTCTTAAATCTATCGTGGATTATCTATATTTGGTATCTACGTGTTCCTGGTACTCTCCTCTACATTTCTACAAAATTTTTGGAGTCGAATTGTATACATTTTTTCTTTTATTTACGAAAATCTTCAAACCCATAATTATAGCGATGGTGCTTCCTATTTTCAACGGTGTCCTTCCTACTCCAACTACGCCTAAGAAAATTTTATCAAATTCAAACGATTTCATTGGTAAATCATACTATCCCTTACCTTTTCAAGCTTCCTCATTAATTGGAAATCTTGGTATTGGTTCTTCTCCATCCTGGGACATCAATATAAACAATAAATCGATCAAACTTAAAATAGAATGGTATGTTGAAAAGAACAATAACAGTTCTCATGAATTCCCAAAATCTCTACTTAACATACTATCAGCCTACAACCTTGTACAACCTACCTGGTCCTCCTCCTTTGCTGAAGAGAAACTGTCTTTCAAGTTTGAATGGAAACTACTCTCTGATGCTACTAACCAACCTGAACAAGTTAAAACTCCATCTACTAACTTACCTTTACATACTCCTGACTTTGGCTATACATCAACATCTAAATCGTATGTATATTCACCACCCAATCTTACAACTCCTACCAAACTCTTCCACAATCATGCTGCTGCTTTTCTAAATCCTCTCACTCCTCCATACACTCCTTACCATCAAGGTACTTTTCAGGTTAATAAAGTTCTGAGAAGGACTGTTTTTGTTGTTGTTGACTGACGTTTCGACAGCCTTAGCGGTAGTCATCTTCAGAGTCAAATGAGGAGTAAACGTCAGGTTAGCTCCTAACCTGACATTTACTCCTCATTTGACTCTAAAGATGACTACCGCTAAAATTGTCGAAACATCAGTCTTCTTTAATCCTTCTGACTTTATTAACCTGGACGATCATCATTTACAAACATATAACGATACTCCCGGGTTCAAACCATTTACTTTAAGGTACTTTTCCTCATAAAAGGAAAAATACTCCATCTACACAAACTAAATCCAAGGACAAACCTAAACACAACACAATACATGTTCCTGACTCAACTAATAAAAAGACTTCATCTCACAGGTGGTGAATATACATACGATTTAGATGTTGATGTATAGCCAAAGTCAGGAGAATGTAAAGGTAAGTTAGTAGATGGAGTTTTAACTTGTTCAGGTTGGTTAGTAGCATCAGAGAGTAGTTTCCATTCAAACTTGAAAGACAGTTTCTCTTCAACAAAGGAGGAGGACCAGGTAGGTTGTACAAGGTTGTAGGCTGATAGTATGTTAAGTAGAGATTTTGGGAATTCATGAGAACTGTTATTGTTCTTTTCAACATACCATTCTATTTTAAGTTTGATCGATTTATTGTTTATATTGATGTCCCAGGATGGAGAAGAACCAATACCAAGATTTCCAATTAATGAGGAAGCTTGAAAAGGTAAGGGATAGTATGATTTACCAATGAAATCGTTTGAATTTGATAAAATTTTCTTAGGCGTAGTTGGAGTAGGAAGGACACCGTTGAAAATAGGAAGCACCATCGCTATAATTATGGGTTTGAAGATTTTCGTAAATAAAAGAAAAAATGTATACAATTCGACTCCAAAAATTTTGTAGAAATGTAGAGGAGAGTACCAGGAACACGTAGATACCAAATATAGATAATCCACGATAGATTTAAGAGCTAAAAATTAAATTTTCGAACGAAGACGAGCGCGTGATAAACAAAACAACCGCCGATCGCACCAATTTATAAACTTTGATTTCTCGGCGAAAAATGGACCAATTTCAGCCAATAAACTCTTGAAATGATCGCTAGATTTTAGCTACAAGATTATACCATAAAGTAAGGCCAATGAACAATTTTGAAGGAAGAATATCAAAATTTCGAAGAGCACCGCCGGAAAATTCATTGGCCTTGCATTTTTGGCCTTGCTATGGCAAGATATCAGGCCGTGTAATTTGAGTAGGCCATGGTTGAACGGGGGAATATTTTGCACTAAAAGTTTCCGCTTATTGACTTGTTTTATCTCCAAAACTCTGGAAAATTAGCTTCCGTTAAATAGTTGAGTATAAAACGTCGAGCGCCAGGTATCTAAGAACGTAGCTTGACGATTTTCCGATTTTAAAGTAAACCATATCGCTGTCTATTCATGAATAAGAAAACAAAACGGAAAATTTGTCTTTTCACCATTCAATTCTCTATATTTGCCAGATATTTGCTTATTTTTAAAACAAAAATGGCGGACACCAGGAAATTTTACTTCCTGTGTCCAAACTCTTTCGCAAAATCATGCTTCCGAGAGGAGAATGTTAGCGATTTTGAAATAGAATTGATTTTTTCTAGGTTTTGAAAAAGAGTTGCGCGATGTCTTCCAATTCATCTGATGATGAATCTGAACGTTCGTCATCTCCCAGCTTTCCTGAATATGAGATATGTATGAGCGAGGTATAAATAATAAAATATTTTAATGTATTGATCTTTTGGTGAGCTTTTCACATTAAGATTAAAGCATCTCTTTTTTTGTTTAGAAACTAGACGGTATTCCACCATCGCATGTTGTCAACATTGAAAGAAATATGGATATACGCTGTTTGTGTTATTTTTCATCAATGAAAAGTTTCTTGTACTGTTACAGGAGCGATGCACTAGGACTTATAAGCGAAGATTTTAAATCTGATATGAAGAAATTCATGGATATAAAATTTGAAAAGAACTCGAAAAAATTTTTTTTGGGTTTTTACCCAGATACAAAATGGGCCGTTTCCTGGGACGGTTCTTTAAAAGCTGCAAGTGCAGCACTCTATCGTCGTCTTAGACATAATATTACCAATTTTGCTTTGATTGTTTTTGCCTTACCTGAGCATCAGGTCGGAAAGTTACCGAAACCCGTATATTGCATAAACTGTCTTCATGCTCGCACTTCTCAACTTAAGTTCTTCCCAGATGGAAAGAAGATTGCCGTCACTATTCGTTTGAATCCTGATATTCCCCATGACTTGGATCGTTTTTGGTGTCGTGTGTATAAACTACCAGACGGTTTGTGGAACGTAGAAGAATCTATAAAAGACGGACCCGACCAATGGATTGATCTTAAAGTTGAATTTAATGGAGTTGATTGCATTCAATTAGGTTGCCCTTTTCTTAATAATGATTTTGAGGCAAATGAGCGTGACGAGCAAGTGTTAAAAGAAAGACGTGAAAGTGGGAATGAAAGTGGTGTTGAAGATTATTTAGATTTGCGGGCGCAGTATCGTGCTGATGGCTTTAATTGTTTGGCTCTATCTCCTGATGCCAGCCGTCTTTTGGCAGGAAGCACTGATGGTGAACTGTTCTATTTTGACGCTGAGAGTTTAAAACTACTACAACGTGTTCGTGTTTACGATTATTATTCAGCAGTTAAAAAATGCTGTTACAATCCTGCATTTGGCCGTAAGGAGTTTGCAATATGTGATCGTTACGGGCTGTTTTGTGTTTGGCGCGTTTTAAATCTTTCTGACAAATCTGAGAATTTCCAGTTAGCCCATCAAAAAAGGCTGGCTGTTCACCCAAACCATCACAATTACTTCAATATTCTTATTGATATCAGTTATTCTCCTGACGGAAAACTTATTGCTGTTACCATAGCTTGTCCGATTGATTACATTGTTAAGACGTTCATTATTGGCTCGCGTTCTGGAGAAATTTGTTATACGTTGGATTGCGTTGATGAACCTGATCGACAGTGTCCGAAAACTGAGTGTCTGACCTCGTTCTTTGGTAATTTGTGTCAAGTTGCTTCAGTTACAAGTGTTCATCCTCGCGTTTTTTTCTGGAAGTTACCTGTTGTCTACGATTTACAGACATTGTGTTTACTCACAATCAAAGCGTTTATCTCTTATAATAATGTTGAAAAACTCAACGTACCTTTTTGTTTAAAAAAAGAGTTAAAGTATATTTATTCTTACTGTACTTGAGAAAGTCATTTAATAGCTATCGTCCGTTGGGCGTTATATCACAGAAGTGATTCTTAAAACCTGGACTTCTATTGGTTATAACTCGTAAACATGTGCACTTGAATATATTTTGGCTAATTCATAACACTTGAGTGTATCCGAAAACTTCTATTGACAATTGTTTGTAGACCTGAGCATTTTGTGGTAGATTCATTAAAACTACCACGTGGTTGCGTTTGAAAACTGGACTTCTTTTGTAAAAATTATGCAAATTTGAATGGATAGATGAAGTATTTATTCAAACACGTTTAATTACCTCATCAAATTACGTTAATTTCCACCAGGGGAAAATGAAGTAGAAATTTTTAATATGATATAAGCTACATAAAAGTAATTTATAAAACACTTAAATACGTAACCACTTAGTAACTAAATTATTAAGCCCTTAATAACCGATGCGAGGTCTTTACGGAGAAATATCGGACCGACGTCTTTTGTACAGACCGAGCCCGTAGGACGAGGTTTGTACTAAACGACAGAGGTCTGATATTTCTCAGTAAAGTTAGAGAAAATGAGGTTATTAAAAGATTTATTATATGGCATTATTTAACTTGAAACGAAGCTTGCTTTTTTTCTCGTCTTTGCTGTTTTTGTACTGGTTGGCTGTCACTTTTCTAGTTTTCGTCCATAAAAGATAAATCGTTTCAAATTATATCGTCTGGATGGTTAAACTGTTTTCTAAGGGTTTTTCCTTCAAATCACATTCGTGAATGGTTTCTTATTTCGTTTGGTTTGCATTTTGCTGTTTGCATTACGAAGTTTGTTTACACTTGACTGTAAGATTGTGCGTTTTGGACCGTGGTTGATTACAGGAATATAATGGATCGGTAGAAATGTTTCTAAGCTAATCAAATCGCACCATTTAGCCGGAAGTGACGCTTGCCACGAAATAATAAATATTTATTTATTAAAAATCAAATATTTTTGATAAACAAAAGCACTTAAATACAAATGAAACATACTCTTTCATGACTAGACATAGTGTATATAAGTTTAATTCATTAACAGAAATGTAATATTCCTTTACTAATGTTTAATTTTCATTTTGAGCTGCAATTTTGCTTTAAAGGAAGAAAAGGAATTAACTCTCTCTATCATTAGTTCGAAAGGAATGCTTCATTATAAGACTTTTAGAACGTGAGTCTAGTAGACAAAGATAACTTGCAATATTCCGTAAATTTTAGATAGTAGTCTCATCAACGAGTTTCGTCACAAAACATCGATCACCAATCGTAAAACTTTTTTTACAATACAAAAATACAAAGTATTGATGTTTATAAATAATGTTAGTTGTAGATCGTCCGTGTATATGAAGATCAGAGATGGACTGTTGGTGTTAACGTTGTTTGTCAAAACATGGCTCAAAACATTCACTTTATTACGATTTTATTAAGTTATAAAGAGTGTATCAGGAAAAACTTAAAAAAAAGACTTGCTTTAAACATTTCTAATAGTCAAAGCCTTATAAAAAAAACAAAACCAGAAAAATTAATTTTCCTCTACAAATGTCTATGTATCCTATATTTCTCTTTCCATTTCTGAAATCCGAACAGTCTTTCTTCTAACATTAAGTCTTGTAGACAAAAAAATGGAAATTTTTCCTTTTTACTCTGTGGCTGTAAATTTTATTTCGATGATTGCACAACTGCATGTTACAAGTCCAAGTTCTGTGAAACTTAAAGTTTTGACGTTATAATTCGTTGTCTGACGAAAAAGCTTATCGCGGTGTACATCAAACGAATGGAAGATGCATAGTTCTTGATTATAAACATAGCATGCAAGCGTGCCTGAATGTATCAATTAAGGTGAAATGATCTCAACAATTTAATAATGTATCAATGAAATTATCTCAACAATTTAATAATTTAAAAACAAGACACCTCTCTTTTGCGTCTTGGTTTCGGCGATAAAACTACAAGTATTGCCTTCCTAAAGACAAGTTTGTCAAACTCAAAGCTGTCAGCTCAAAGTAATAAATTTTGAATGACAAACATCCGTACTAAGTTTATATTTTTGATTAATTTTTCAAATGTTGATTAAAATGCGCAGTTGCGAAGTCGTGAGAGGACCGTATCTTGCAAATGGTTGTAAAAGAAATCCATTAACTGATAACAGGAAATATAATAATTTTTTTCCTGAAAAGCAAAGAATTATGGGATGGAATAGACTCAGATCACTTCCTCTGTTCTTCACCCTCGTGGTCGTCGATTAAACTTTAAATTCAGTTGCCTTTGAGCCATTGTGGTTGAATGTCGCCTTCATTGAAACGTGCTCTGACAACATTTTTTCGGGTAAGTGTGAATTTTTTTGTTCAGTTTATCATTTTAAAGAGAAATGGAGAAGCCTAAATAATCACTAAATAACACCAGCTTATTTCATATTCGAGACACCTTAAAAAAATCGGTTTGCTCGTCAGAAATTTTTAAAGAAGATATTTCAATAGGATTTGTACTTGGCACTTTAATGTGTATAATG